TAATGGTGGGTAGTGGGAATGGAGGGGAAGGAATTTCTTTCACCTTCCATAGGCCATGGCATATTATAACAGAACCACTTACTGAGTAATAGAGATCATACTCAGCATGGAACTGGCCCAGAAAAAAAAAAAAACCAGTAACCAAGGCAGGAGACACCCATGAGCAATGTAACCCCTGGCATCAGAAGAGAGCCAGCTCTAGTCTTGAGAGAGAGAGGTAGAGCTGGCAGTTGGGAATAGAGCTGGGGAGAGTGGCAGCTCTAAGTTTATCAGATCAGTGACTTTCCCAGAAGAGACTATGTTCATGATAAGGAGGTGGGAATAGGGGAAGCAGTATTTAAGAAAACCTTTAAGTACTATATAAATGTTAGCTATTGCAAATTGCAGCAACGGTACTGATCTGCCTTGGTAGAAGTCCTATCCACCTCCTGGAGTTCCAATGAAATCATAGGTCCAATCTCAGAGTCAAACACTTAGCAAAAAATCTTTAGACAATAAACGTCTATGAAATATACAATTAGACTTTGAGTGTTCCCTTCTGGCTTACCCTAGTTAAAAGAATTACTTTTCCCAAATGTCTAGAGACTTTTTGGTCTAGAGACCAAATGTCTAGAATCCATTATGAGAGCAACATGTCTGAATCACAATGGCAGAGTTTGGACCTGAGGGCATTTGCTTTTTTTTAAGTCTCCTCTTCAATATTCTATTGTAACAATTAGGAAAAATTATGTGTTTAGGACTGTTGACTGTGTGTGTTCACAGTGAGCCAATGACTAATGTTCTACCTTGCCAGCATATTCTCTATTTGGTTTTTTTTCTTTGCAAACTAAAATGAAGAGATAGTCAAGCTGAATGCTCTGCATGTATATCACTTTCCCTGGGATGTGGGGTGGATAGCCACCTATTTGGTGGAATGAGGATTTCAGGAAAATGAAGTTGAAGTGAAACACACATTTGTTCAGGTTTATTTCTACACAACAGGTCGTATTTTCCCTCAGCCTTAGCAAAAAATCATAACCTGAAGCTTCAGTGAGTGATGGTGCCAGAACCCTCATCTCTTTCCTCTCTGGTTACTATTGGAACCTCAGACAGTAAGGCTGGTGAATCACAGCATGGTTCAACTGCCAAAGAGAATCAGCTCTAGAGACATATTGATGCCACATGGAAAATGAAATAAAGAAATGCCAAAATCACTCAAGGAGGAATCTTAAGATCATAGATTTAGGACTGAACCTTAAAGGTCATTGAGTCTAAACTGATTTTATTGATGAGGAAACAATCCCTGAGGATTGTCTTGCCCAGGGTTTTATAGTTAAGGAAAGTCTGAGGAAGGATTAAATCCAGTTTTTCCTGACTCCAAATCTAGTATTTTCTCTATGAGACTATCCTACCTCCAAAGGATTTCAGGTAGTCTGCATATACTTATGTTGTAATTGTTGTCTACCCTGTTAGAATGCAAACTTCTTGTGAATAGGGAGTCTTCTGTTCACTGGATTTCTATCCCCAGTGCCTGGAGACTTGATAACTGATTGGATATGGAAGGTGAGAGAGACTGAGAAATAGAGGATGATATGAATTTTGTGAGTTGTGGGTGACCTGGAGGATGGTGGCACCTTTGACAGTGATAGGAAAGTGAGGAAGAGGGGAGGGTTTGGGGGGAAAGATAATGAGTGCAATTTGGGACATGTTCTGTTTAAGGTATCTATAGGACATCCAGTTTGAGATATCTGATAGGCAGTTGGAAATGTAAGACTGGGAGACAAGAGAGAGGTTAGGGCTGGATAAATAAATGTGAGAATTATTTGCTTAGCAATGATAATTGAATCCATGGGAACTGAAGAGATCATCTAGTGAAATTATATAGAAGGGGAAGAAGAGAGATTCTAGGACAGAGCCTTAGGGTATACTTACAGGTCAATGGGCATGACCTGGATGACACTCAATCAAAGGAGAATGAGAAGGCTCAGTCAGACAAGTTGGAAGAGAAATAGTGGACAACAGTGTCATGAACACCTAGAGAGAAGAGAGTATCAAGGACAAGAGGGTGAGCTAAGTATCTAAGGCTACAGAGAGGTAAAAAAGAATGAGGCTTGAGAATAAAAAAAACCCTTAGATATGGATTTAAATGACTTGCTCAAGATCACACGGTCAAATGTGGGAGGCAGGACTTCTTGACTCTGAGGCTGGTTTTCTATCCAGTACATTATATTGCTTCTCCAAACTTGACACTTATCCCCATTAAATTCCACCTTATTACATTGTGCCCACTTTTTTAGCCAGTCAAGATCTTTCCTGATCTGACCCTGTTATCTAATGTGTTTGTCATCCCTCCCTGCTCTTCTCTGCTCTCTAATCTATACCCTAGCCTATTGCCAGTGCTCTCTTTGACTCTATTCCCTTGGTATAAGCATTTATTAAGTGCCTACTAGGTACTGAGTGTTAGGTGAGGGATTGAGATAAGTAAGAAATGATCTGCATTCAAAAAGAGTTTGCCCTCTAGTAAGGGGGGGTGTGCTCCCAGGAATATGGTGGTGCTGATCCCTCTGTCCTCTGTTGTGGTCTGATCACATTCGGAGTTTTGTGTTTAGTCCCAGGCACCACAGTTCCGGAAAGGGAGAGATAAGCCAGACAGCATTCAGAGGACAGTCATCAGCATGGTACCATGTCATCTGGGGATGTTTTAAGCATCTGGGACTATTTAGCCCAGAGTAAAGAAAAATGATGGGGCAGATAGGTGGCACAGCAGATGGAGAGTCACTGGGCATGCAGTCAGAGGGACCTGAGTTCAAATCCAGCCTCTGATACTTAGTAGTTGTGTGATCATGGGTAAGTCATATTTTCCTCAGTTTCCTCATCTGAAAAATGAGCCGGAGAAGGAAATGACAAACCACTCTGGTATATTTGCCAAAAACCCTCAACAAACCCAAATGGGGTCATGAAGAGTGGACCCAGCTATAACAGCTGAACAATAACAACAACAAAGAAGAATGATGGTCAAAACTGAAAGGACGTCCATGTGCAAGAGAGATGAGAGATGAGATTTGCTTCAGGGGCAGAACCCAGTAGCAGACCGTTGGAGACGTTGAGGTCCAATGGTGCATGAAAGTTTCAGAATGGAAACTTCAGGCCTGTTGTGGGAGAAAAGGCCATCATTTCATGGGAAGCCTACCTTGTGAGCCTACGATGTTTCTTAGGCCTCCCCTGCCTTTCTGCAAACAAAACCAAACAGACACACTTATAAGACCCAAAACTGGAGCTGAGAAACAGCGGGTGATAGGAGTTTATACAAATCAGTTAACTGCAATAGCAAAAGCACCCAAATTGCAGCAATTTCTAACCAGTGCCTTGTAGCTAATAACTGTCATCTTAAGCACTCAACCAAGTGATAAAATCCATTACCAGTCCTCTGCCTGGCTGAATTTTTCTATGGGGCAGCACCAGCCCCTCCTCCAAACCCCAGTCACTCAAAAGCTTCAGCAGCTTGAAGAAGATTTTGCATTTCCTCTAACAGCCAGGGTGATGTCAAAAATTCCCATAAGCCTAGTCTGCTCCTCTATAGAAACCAGATTTCTGGTCTGAGTAATGATTTATATATATGTGTATATATATATATATATATATGGTTATCTATATTTATATATATATATATATTTATATATAGAGTTATCTGTGAATACAAAACATTTTCCTCACAATGGACGTGGGAGGGAGGTGAGGAAATTTCTCCTGTTATATACATTTTTTTACATGAGAAAACTGATGCTCAGAGGTAGGAAGTGACTGGCATACAGGTTTGACCAAGTCTCTCTCCTGCTCAAAGACCTTCAATGGCTCCCTATTAAAAGCTAACTCCTCAGGCTTCATTGTAAAGTCTTCTCATATAAAGCTCCCATTTCCCTTACCAGATATCTCATATTATTCCCCTTCATGCTTTCTCCTATCCAACTAAACTGGACTATGAGTGCTGTGTTTACCGTACCACCTTGCTGTCCTAACAGCTTTTTAGGAAGCTTCTTCTCAAAGTGACTCCAGCTGGACATGGTGGGCACGTTTGTACTCTCTATTACCAAGGGGCTGAAGCTGGACTATCGCTCAGACTCAGGAATTCTGAGCTGCAGTAGGTTAAGCTGAGAGGATGTCTGCAGCATCTGGCATCAAGATGAGGAGCCCCAGAGAGCAGGGGAGCCAGCAGGCTGTGTAAGGAGGGGCCAATTGTCCCAGGTTGGAAATGGAACAGGTCAAAGATTCCCTGCTGATCAATAGTGGGATCAGGTCTGTGAGTGACCATTGAAGGCAAGGGAAGGGAAGGGGAGGGGAGGGAAGGAAAGGAAAAAAAAAGAAAAAAAAATGACTCAGTTAAGCTGCTTTTGAGAGAGGGCTTGGATGCCACTAATTCTATGCCCATGGATAACTAGAGCGTATCAGCCTTGAGAAGCTCAAAGCAAGGCTGCCAAAAGTTACCTTTGTTCCCCTTTCCCTCTTTCCTATAACTCCCCTCTCCCTCCCACTGACTGAGGCCTCCCCTGACAATATGCCTGGCTACTACCCCATCCTAGAATGCTTTCCTTTGTCACCTCTGCCTTTTAGAGGTTTCCTTCCATGCTTAGCTCCAGCGGTACTTGATGTGGGAGACCTTTCAAGTACTTCTCAGTTAAAAAGCCATGGCCTCCCAGGGTACCTTGTTTCTGCTTTGTATGTATATTATTTATACCTGTGTATATGTCAATTCCTTAAGGGTGGGAACTGCTTATTTAATTTATTGTATTTACCTTTCTTTGTATCCCCAGTGCTCAGCACAGTGTCTGGCTCATGAGAGCGTTTTATCTCCCCAACATGGATTGTAAACACCTGGAAGGCAGGGGCTGTGTTCTGTTTCTTCTATGTATGATACAGCTTTGGGGGTTGGTAGCAGGCAGTCAGTAGATATTTGTTGAATGAATGATTAAATAAATGAAAATTAAAAAAAAAACACACTTTCTCCTGCTTTGATTTTTTTGCAGGTTCTCCACTTGTGATCTGCATCATTTCTGTATCTTCCAGCATGAACAACTATGGAGAAAATCTCAAGTAAGGAATGATAACTGTTGCTTTATTCAGAATTTGGTGATTTGTTGGCTTTATGTTATGCTTTTCCTAGAGATCTGCTCTGAGAGTTGCTCAAGTGCTTTTTGGAAGGTGGCTTCTTCTCTTGAATGACCTCTGGACATTTTTGCAGGCCATCCAGGCCCCAATCAATCCACTTATTAAAAAGCTTCTGCTCCTCCAAGGTCCACCTTTCTCCATGAAGCTTTTATCGATCTCTCCAGCTAATAGGTATCTCTTTTCCATCAAATTTCTTAGTGCAGAAAATCTGAATCTACCATTTGCTCTTATATCATATTCTTCTTACGTATTGTGGGTCATAATTCCTCTTTGAGGGAGTAAGTTTCTTGAATGCATCAATGGTGCCATCTTTAAAAGGTAGTGAGGTTTAGGACAGCTAGGTGGCACAATGGATAGAGATAGCTCTGGCCTTGGAGTCAGGAGGACCTAAGTTCAAATCCTGCTTCAGACACTTGACATTTACTAGCTGTGTGACCCTGGGCAAGTCACTTAACTCCATTTGTCTCACCAAAAAGGAAAAAAAAGGGTAGTGAGGTTTAATGGCTAGAATTCTGGACTTGGAGCCAGGAGACCTGGGCTCAAATCCAGGATTAGATGCTGACTAGCTGTAAGACCCTTGGCAACTCATAATTTTTTTTCATCTCAGTTTCCTTAACTGCAAAGTGGAGATCTAATATTTAGATACATAAAGTATCTATTAAATGCTTGCTATGTAGTTATAATCATAAGGTCATACACGTAGCTGGAAAGGAATTGTAGAGGTCAGAGGAGATGGAAAGGATCTTAGAGGTCATTAAATCCAATCTCTTCATTTTACTGAGGAAACAAAGGCTGAGAGGGTCAGTTAGTCATTAAGCTTTTATTAAGCACCTACTATGTGCAAGGCACTGTGATAAGTGCTGGGGATACAAATCGAGGCAAAAGACCCAATATCTACCCTTAAGGAGCTCACAATCTAATTAACTGACTTGCCCTGAGTTACCATAAGTGTCTGAGGCAGGATTTGATCATCTAACACTGCCTCATCTACCTAGCCCAATTATTCATTAGTCATTTTTCAGTTGTGTCTGACTCTTTGTGACCCCGTTTAGGGTTTTCTTGGCAAAGATATGGAGTGGTTTGCCATTTATTTCTCCAGGTCGTTTTACAAATGAGGAAACTGAGGCTAACAAAGTCAAGTGACTTGCCCAGGGTCACACAGCTAGTAAGGTCTGAGGCCAGAAGATGAGTCTTCCCGACTCCAAGCCCAGCACTGTATCCTCTGTGCCATTTGGCTGCCACTAGTCTAAATCCTTCATTAAAAAAGTGATATTTATGCCTTTTGCTTTTTACATTGCAATCATTTCCAGACATAGTCCCATATTTACAACCTTCAGGATGGAATCCTCCCTTCTAGCAAAGAAAAACAATTAAGCAGAAATAACTACTGTAGTAACTATATCTGACTCTATGTTCAACATTTTGTCTCCAGAGATCCTTACCTCTCTGCCTAGAGGAAGGAGGTATCTTTCATTATCTGTTCTCTGGGACCAAGATCAGTCAACAAAGGAATGAATGAAAGGGAGAAAAAAAATATTTATTAAGTACTTACTGAAGATACAATAAGAAAAAAAAATGACACAGTCCCTGCTATCAGGGTGCTCGCATGCTAATTAGAGGAGACAACATATATAAAAAAAAACGCAGCTGCAGGACAGATGGAAAGGTCTGGAAGTCCTAAGGGTAAATGGCAAATCTATGGGTCAGATTGTATATCTGGGGGTCTGGAGGTCATTGCAATGATGGAGTTCAACTTCCTTTTAGCACTTTGTCATTGATATGATTGCAGTCATTAGGTATATTGTTCTGGTTCTACTTACTTCACTCTGTATCAGTTTATGCGATTCTTCCCATCTTTCTTTACTTTTTCATATTTGTCATCTCTTACTACACACTAGTATTCCATCACATTTATATACCACAGTTTGTTCAGCTATTTCCCAAATGATGGCTCCTTCCCCCTTTTTTTTCTCCTGGTTCTTTGTTATCACAAAAAGGGCTGCTATGAATATTTTGGCATGTGTGGGTTCTTTCTTCTATCCATCTTTGACCTTCCTAGAATGTGTATGTCTGTTGGTGGGATCCAAATTCTTCATTTTAGGGAAGAGGAGATTGGGAGGGAATGACTTGCCTGAAATCCCACAGGGAGAGTTTGGATGGTTGGTAGAGCTTAGATATAAACCTCAACTTGAAATCCAGCATCAGAAGAAGCAGGATTTAAATCCATCTTCCTGACTCTAAGCGCACTACCTCTAAATGAGATGGACTTTTTTTTTGTCCTAACTTACGATTTCATTGGATTTCCCTTCACTAATAACAACTGATACAGAACCACAACTTGTTTAGTAACTTAGAGACAGCCTGCTGTGGGGACTAGAGGGCCATCCTTCAAAGGGGTATTCTCCAATCCTTCTTCACACACTACTGGCCACGTGACTATGAGTCAGACACTAGAACCAATCTGTGCCCCAGGCAACGCTCCAAACTTTGTAAGTACTAGGTACATAATAAACACTGTTGGATAAGTAGGGGAAGTATCATCACAAGGTGGGACCCAGTTGCAGGGCATTATTACTAGACAAAATTATAGCAAGGTGCCCCACATACAACTGTGATCCCACAGCTCTGCCCCTACTCTCCTGAGATGTCCTGACTTTGTCTAGGGGGAGGCATTTAGTTATAGGAATGATGCCAAAGAGGAGTGGCATATATACCCTGCTTTGGGCTTATAGTTAATCAATGTTAGCATCTACATGACAAAGAATGCCACTGAGGGGACAGTGGCTCTTAGGGGGCATATTCTAGCCTTTTGATCTTTCCAGGCAACATGTAAGTGAAGGGCCAAGTTGAAGCTGCCATTTTTTTTCATTAAAAAGAATTTTGTTAAAAAAAAAATTGGGCAGCTAGGTGGTGCTGTGGATAGAGCCATGGGCCTGGAGACTGGAGGACTCATCTTCCTGAGTTCAAATTTGGCCTCAGACACTTACTAGCTGTGTGATCCTGGGCAAGCCACTTAACCCTGTTTGTCTTAGTTTCCTCATACGTAAAATGAGCTGGGGAAGGAAATGGCAAACTACTCCAGCATCTTTGCCAAGAAAACTCCAAATGTGGTCATGGAGATTCTGATTCTGAAATGACAACAATAATTGCTGTGATGTCTCTGTGTGTATGTGTATGTGTGTGAGTGATATGGATAACAATTCAGCATCCTGGAAAATATAAATCTTTAGGGAAAAAACACTCTGTATTATCCATGGCTCCAAGGTCAGTAAGACTTCCCACAGCCATCTCTATAGATTTGAGAGTTTAACACCAGCACCCCCCACCTACCCAAATGAGAGCACAAAGACTCACCTAGGATATGGCTCATCCCATATTTGCTGAATGAATGAATGGAGGTATGCATGATGTCCAGTGGGCATAATCTGGCTGATCTCTGTCCTCTCACTGGGGGGATAATAAACCTAGGACCCCCAGTGTCCTTGAGGCTGCAATTTGAAGGGAGTGGGCAACAGAGAAAAAATGGTGAGCAGAGTGCTGCACCTGTACTCAGAAACCTATGGTAATGGATTAGGAGTCAGAGGAGCTGGGTACGAATCCTAGTTGGGCAACTTGCTGCTCTTGTAACCACGGGCAAGTTGATTTACCTCTCTGGCCTCAGTTTCCCCCTTTGATAAAATGACAGAGTCACATTAACTGATCCCTGAGACTGCTTCTAACTCTAAGTCCATCACTCTGATGCCTCCAAGGAGTGCTGGTTCTTCTCTCTAAATCCAGAAATTCTTTCTCCCCCATTTCCCCTCTTTTCTCTCCTCCCCACACCCACCTTCAAATAATACCGAAAGAATTAGATGAAGTATTCTTTGGAAAGTCACTCTTCTTCAACTGAGTTGGGGCTGATATCATGAAAGGGAAAACATCACTGAGACGGTTTAAGAGAAAGCTTTAAACATTTTTATAGCTTCAGCATACAATGTTTTTTCAGCTGAATTGCTAAACTGGGAGAAATCTAGCCTCCCCTACTTGAGAAGCCCAATTTGCTGCAGATTAAGCCTTTAAAGAAAGCATTGTCTGGAATGAGGCTGATTAAACATTCCCATTGTTCTACGAGAGCCTTGCCTTTCAATATTCCACATTTTTAGAACCAGAGCCCTCTAATTAAAAGGAGTGTTTTCCTTCTGAGATACACAGCTCTGACACTTCCGTTGACACACTATTCCTGTCCTTAGCTGAGCTTCCTTCACTGAGCTGGTACATTCTCTGCTCCTCACCCCTAGGCAAGGGAGCTCTTTTCAGTGTCCTTGCTCAGAATCATATATCATGGAGCATAGACTTAGAGGAGAAGAGAATTTAGAGGCTGTTGAGAGCAACCTCCTTTTACAGGAAACAAAAGACTAGAGAGGGAAATGACTTATTCAGGTCACTCAGATAGTGGCAGGATTTGAACCCAAGTCATCCTATGACTCCAGACTTTGATATACTCTGATCACATTGTGATACTCTGTCTCAGTATGTGTGTGTATATATATATATATATATATATAATATGTATGTATATATATAGTACATACATATATACATACATATACACATATATGTGTGTATATATGTGTGTGTGTATGTATATGTCTCTTCCTCCTAAGCTGAGGGACTTGAAAAAGCCCGTCTGTTGTTCAGTCATTTCAGTCGTGTCTGACTCTTCATGACCTCATTTGGGGTTTTCTTGGCAGAGATACTGCAGAGGTTTGCCATTTCCTTCTCCAGCTCATTTTACAGATGAGGAAACTGAGGCAAACAGGCTGAAGTGACTTGCCCAGGAAGTGCCTGAGATCATATTTGAACTCAGGTCTTCCTGTCTCCATGCCTGGCATCCACTCTACTCTACTCTACTACCTAGCTCTAAAGGCCATTTAAGTCTCTCCACT